TGAGCCCAGGCTTCCTGGAGTGGTGTCTTTTACCACATAAAATTATGACACATTGCAAGTACTGGGATTGTGATTTGGTTCTCTGTACAAAGAAAGAAGCTCCATGCAGTGAGTTTGTGGTTTAATGGTCACAAAATGTTAGCACTGCTACCATTCAGCACGTGTAAAATTTTTTAAATTTATAAATAATAAATTTTAAACTTACACTAAGACTTTTCAGTTTTTTTAAGAGACCCAGGGACGAGAGTATACTGTTTAAATATTTACCTCTATTAACATTACTAATGAAGGTATAAAGTTGCATTTAATTTTTCAAAAGATGCTACAATATGATTTTAGGAAATAAATCAAGGCTATGTATTGAGCCAGTTACAAGCTGAATATCAAATTGATAAAATTTTATTTGTATTTTTTAAATCCATAAATGGGAGTTAAAAATGTGTCTTTTCACTAAATATTTTTATTACATTTTTGTTTTGACCATGTGTGATTTGTTCATGGGTATTTAGCTAGTCTATTTTATGAAGCTTATTGAAATGGTGCTAGTTCATTTACAGTCATAGGATGATTGACACTGGGGACATTACACAGTCATAAAATAATTTTAAATAAAAAACATGGGATGAGACATATCTGTATAGATAAAGATTTGCATTACCTTCTGGGAAAATACCCAAACCTTAAGAGAGTATTCAGGATTCCGAAAGAAAAGGTTTTGTTTATATTCTGTAATATTGAACATATTGATTTTTATCTCACCTGGCTTTAGAAACATTTTCAGAGTGACTAGTTAAATCACTGGACTTGGGCATATTTGTAGTAAATATTTTTAGTAGTTCGGGTCTTTCTTTTCGGCCTTTTCAGGGAAAGTTGAGAATTGCCATCCTGCTCTGTGTTAGACTTACACACTCTCACCTTTCACCCAATCTTAAATCTTGTAAACATGTGCAGTGGAAAAGTAATTTTTTTAAGAAAAGGAAATGCATTTTGAAATATATTTATTTTAAACTTGATTTTGCTTTGAATATTCATTGACTTATAATGGTATTTCTTAGGTTATGTTGAAATGTAATTCCACTCCAAGGGTAGATAAGAAAAAGCAGGTTGTTTAAGAGGTACAGTAGGTAGAGTGCATGTTGAGTATTTGTTTCCCCTCTTACATTCGAGGGGGACCTCAAGCACAGGCTGATCACCTGTCTCTTGAAGAGAGCCATAAATGATTTTAAAGGCCCCAAATATAAAAATTAGTATTTGTAAATAGTCATCTTTAATGGTTCTCTCTAAAAATAGTCATTTTATGTTGAGTGGCTTGTGAATAATGCCTTTGGTGCATTGATTAGGTTGACATTTTTGTTTGTGTTTTAAGCGTCGCATCCCAGATGGAGTCTTGTGCATTCTTTGTCATTTCAAATGGCAGTTCAGTTTGACTCTCTTTTTGAAACTAAGTGGAAGCAAAGGCATGTTGGGTGAAACTAATGAGAAGGTCTTCTGCTCAGAAGTCCCATACAGTACTAATAGCAGTGCACTGCCTTAGTTCTAGCCCATGAACCAACCTCCTTCCTGGTAAGTTATTTTTAACATCTAGCATGACAGTGAACTGAGGTAAGTCTCTGAGGATTCCTGGAGTCGAAGAATGAAAAAAACTGAAGCAAAGGACAGTTAAATAGGGGTGTGCTGATAAGTATTTTTATTTCCACGGTAGTTAGCGGTTTTAAGTTTTGATAGTGTTCATTCTGGCTTACTTTGCTGCCAGGGTTAGTCTTCTAACATCCTGAGATCTTAGGCTGCAATATTCATTTGCACCCCTTCTTATAACTGCACTGCCCTGGATAGTCCTTTCTGAGGACTGACCTGGTAAAGCCATATGAACTGGTACAGTACAGGGGAGAGGTAGAGAGCCCTAAATCCAATTCCTAATATATCCTCTGTATCATAGGACCATAAATGTTCATTCTTCCTAAATGGAAAATTTTAAACATGGTCATTGGATATAATAATAGGTGCTCAATAGATTGCATTATATTTAAAGATTGTTTCTAAGAACACATTTTGATCCATCAATGTGTTCTAATGTAAAGTCCAATACCTGGTAGCCATTAATTACTTTTAAGTACTGTAGTATCTAAACATCAATAAAATGTGACCTAGCCACAACCACCATGTTAGTATTGGAATAGAGTTCACCATATTAGTTTTTCTTCTTTTCTATCCGAGAAAATTGATCTATTTAAGTTGGTGGTTTCAGTTTCTGTTGAATATTCACCCCGTAATTCTACAACAACAAAATCGCAACAGTGATTCCCAAAGTAGGTTTCATGAATCACTAATTTTTTTTTTAAGTTTATTTATTTTGAGAGAGGAGAAGAATCCCAAGCAGGCTCCCTGCTGTCAGTGCAGAGCCCAGTGTGGGACTCGAACTCACAAAACAGATCGTGACCTTAGCCAAAATCAAGAGTTGGATGCTTAACTGACTGAGCCACCCAGGTGCCCCAATCACTAATTCTTTATAACTTAGCTGTTACTAAATAAATTGGAGAAATGAAACAAGGTTTTGTTTTGTTTCCTGTGTGAAGTTAAAGCTTTACTACACTCATGCATGTCAGAAAACTCTAGAAGATCTTTTAAAAATTTATTTATTTTGGAGAGAGCACCAACAAGGCAGGGGCAGAGAAAGGAAGAGAATCCCAACCAAGCAGGCTCCGTACTGTCAGTGCAGAGCAAGACTTGGGGTTTGAACTCACTAAACTGAGATTACAGCCTGAGCCGAAGTCAAGAGTCAGTCACCCAACCAACTGACCCCCCCCCACCCGGGGGGGCCCCAGGAGCTCTAGAAGATCTTAATGAGATTTTCATCAGCTTATTTAATGGTTTCTTCTCAAAGCATCTTACAGGACTAGAATTCTAGGGAACATCCTTTGCAACATGCTTAGGCTAATTTGAGTAATTTGGTAATATGGTACTTGGAGAATGGAAGAAAAACACCAGAATCTGTTCTTGTAATTATAGGTAATTTCTAGTTATTTTTTAGAAAAGGAAAAACTTGAGTGTAAGTTCATCTTTTTTTTGTTGTTTTTTTTTTAATTTTTTTTTTCAACGTTTATTTATTTTTGGGACAGATAGAGACAGAGCATGAACGGGGGAGGGGCAGAGAGAGAGGGAGACACAGAATCGGAGACAGGCTCCAGGCTCTGAGCCATCCGCCCAGAGCCTGACGCGGGGCTCGAACTCACGGACCGCGAGATCGTGACCTGGCTGAAGTCGGACGCTTAACCGACTGCGCCACCCAGGCGCCCCAAGTTCATCTTTTAAGAAACCTTTTCAGGGTAATCTTTGTTCCTTTTATGCACCATTTCTGAAGAGTAGTGAGATGAACAAAAATAATTTTTGAATAAACAAAGGAGTAATTCCTGAATTGAAATTGATTTGAAAGCATCTTTCAAGTCTAACTTGACAATCTTCACTTTACTTCAATACCAGTCAAATTGCTTTTGATGTTTTACATTTTTCTATGATTTTAATAACCATTAAATTACAATGAAAATGTTTCACCAGGAAAATTCTAATCTTCATGTATTAGTGAGACATGCTGTCTGGCCAGTCAGCACTCTTGGTGGAAGTATAATTATATGAACTTTCTGACATCTAGGTCATTTTAATTATAAAAATAACATGTCATACATTACATGAAGGTAACTATTGTGTCTCACATGATATGAAAGCAATTGAAACTTTGAACGCTTAAAAAGATGTTTCAAGCCAAAACTAATTTTCTTTAGCATAAACTTTTCTGTTAATTTAGAAGCCAAGGCAGTCTTGTATATATGGAACACTACCTCTGTAAAAATATACTGCCATAAAAGTTGGTTATTAATTATTTCTTGGTTCATGTTATTATTGATTTCCTTTAGTTTTACATTTTTCTTTCCAGCTCTTTTGCTAAGTTACATCTGATTTTGAAGTATTTAGTAGATTTGTCATCAGTTCAAAACTTTCAAAGTAAAAAAAAAACAAAACAAAACATGGGTTGTTACAGACCCGGAAACTATATTTAAAATAGAAAGCATGGTACTCACAAAGTTGTAAACCTCTTTCACGAACTACCAAATGGCATCGTTTGGCAGCTCAGCAGTTCATTTATATCCTCACCTTGTCCCAGAAAGGATTTAAAGGTATTTGGGAGAATATATAAAACTTAGCAAGATAATAAAATTAATAAAATGAAGGCAAGGAAGGTAGGAACATAATATAGATTGCCTTGGGGAATGAAAATAAATCTGACGACTTGGTAACAGCGAAGGTGAAGGGGAACATTTCCTACATTAAGTTCTTGTTATGTGGTAGGTACTGTGCTAGAGGTCTTAACATACGTTGAATGAAAGAGTAATGGCAAGTCAGCTGACCAAATAGTATCCATCGTTTTCGTGGAGAATGTTGTTGCCTCATAATTGCGTTGTTTGCCAAATTAGTAGCTGGTCTTATTTCATCATGAAGACCTCTACCTTGCATCATCTGTTTACCGATCAGATCGTGCACTCATTTACATCTCTTCCATTTTTTGCAGCTAACCCCCAAATGAAAAATGCATATAACTAGACTTACATTAACCACATTAAGTTTGGATAGGCAAATCATAGGAGCAAAGTGCAGGGTTTGAGAGTCTTCCTGCATATAAAGCCTCAATTTAATGTCTTAATTCCTCCAAGACCGAGTAAACTAAATAGACAAAGGCCTAAATTTAATGTTTGCGAAACATACCAGTTTCAAGTGCAAATAGCTACTTGGAATACGTTTAATTGGAAGGGAATCTAATTAAAACCTTATTATTTTTTTTTTTTTATTGCCACTATTCTTGGAGGTCATTTATAAGATAGAGACAAGAGGGGACAACTCCTATCAACAGCACGCTTGCACTCTGTTAACGGCAGGACTGGAACGCCTGGAGGAAACTGCGTTCCGGGGTCTTCCGGAAGCGCCCTCGGGCCGGAGGGTGTGCGCATGCGCGGACGCGGCGCGGGCCGGCGCGGGCCGGCCTCGACCCCTGTCGCACCTGAGGGTGACTGCGCACGCGTGGCTACTGAGTGGACGAACCTGGGCGCGAAGGTGGGGTCGCTTCCGCGCTGGTCTGCGGCTTCGGAATCGGTTGTGGTTTCTTTTTTCCGTTCGTCAGCCTTTCGCCAGTGCAGTGAGGGCGGAGGGATTCAGTTAATGGTGTCTGGGGACGGTGGGCGAGCTGCAGATGAGCCGAGAGGGAGCGCGGTCTCTGCGCCGCGTGACCTGGCCTCGTGGGCTGGGGCCCGTGAGGAGCGGCCCAACCTGGGCTTAGGCGGCCCGGGTGCGGAGGAGAAAACTTAACCCCCAGGCCAGGGCAGTAAGAGAACTCCGCTCCGGTCAGAAGTGGGATTGGGCCCACTACCCTGTGCTTCTTTGACCAGGACGTTCGAGCCCCCACACCTGTCTCCCGGGGCCTTAGGAGGCAGGGCCTCTCTGCCGGGGGCGGGGTGTAGAGTGGAGAGGCGAGACCTCAGCCCCCGAGGGGCTGGCGGGGACACGCGACACTTGGCAGTGCACGAGGGCAGTAGCGTCTTAGTGGTACAGTATGATCGAAGTAAAGGACCTGCCTGGGGCCCGGGACACTTCCGGGGTGGGGAGGGGATGATGTGTAAGACCGGAAGGGTGTCTTGATCGGGGTTGAGGTCACGTGGAGGAATACGTCGCAGTTCATCGCACTGTACACTTAGGGACTGTATGTGTTTCGCCCTGGGTAAATTTAACGTTTTTTGAAGTTAATTTTTTAAATAACAGGATAAATAGAATTTTAGAAAACGAGAGGAAAGGAAGCATTTTAGGCAGGGAAAACTACATATGCAAAGATAAAAAGAAAATGAAAGATTATGGCCCTTTTCTGACAGTAAATCGGATTCAGGGTAGAATCATAGGGCAATATGCAAAATATATGTAGGGAACATCTAGATTATTCTTACCTGTTCGCAGAGGGAACCTCACAGACTACCTCAGGTTTCCCCTCTCTCCCACCGCACCCCCCAGTTAAGTGCCTGGGATGAATTCTAAGTTAATGCTCACCCCACTAGATCACACCTACTTGACTAAAATAACTTGCAGAAGGCAATATGGATACTGTGTGAATTTATACAGTGGGGGAGGGAGTGGCTTGCTTTAAGTAAAACTGATATATAGCAATTGTAGAATTGTATACATTTGAAATGTAATTGGATTTGCATATTGCTCTTTAGGATTACACTAGTTATATTGAGTTAAGTACTGTTTTTTTTTTGTTGTTTTTTTTTTTTTAATTTTTTTTTTCAACGTTTATTTATTTTTGGGACAGAGAGAGACAGAGCATGAACGGGGAAGGGGCAGAGAGAGAGGGAGACACAGAATCGGAAACAGGCTCCAGGCTCCGAGCCATCCGCCCAGAGCCTGACGCGGGGCTCGAACTCACGGACCGCGAGATCGTGACCTGGCTGAAGTCGGACGCTTAACCGACTGCGCCACCCAGGCGCCCCGAGTTAAGTACTGTTTAAAGCAATAGAAAGCAACCACAGTACACTAGGAGCCTGCTAATCCCTACTGATGCTGCACGTTAATGTGTCCGGCCCTTTGCTCGCTGTTCCCTCTGTAATCCTCACTCTTCATCTTTTCTTCTCCCTCAAGGCCAGGTTAAAATGCCACCTGCTGTTTCACTTCTGTTTTCTGCCGGTACGTGCTCTCTGTTCTGATCCTATGGCACTAAATAGTGCTTTTCTAATAGAAGGCTCACCACATTATCACAATCATTTGTGTGTTTCTCAGCCGTGGCACTGGAGGCGTTTGGGGCCAGACAGTTGCTTGTTGCGGAGGACCGTCTTGTAAATGGTATTTGCCAGCGTTCCTGGACTCTACCCGCTAGATGCCCGTAGCATCCTTCCCAGTTCTGACAACCAGAAACGTCTCCAGACATGGCCGAATGTTCCCTTTCTGGGGCAGGTGGTTGCAAAATCTCCTGTGAGAACCACGGTTCTCACGTTTGAGCCATGTGCGGCTCAGCATCCGTTCAATAATAAGATGACACAGCACTCCCCAACGCTTTTGGACATGAACATCTCTTTACATCAATTTCATAAACCCACTTAGAAAATTTGTAAACAACACTAAAGATAGGATGAAGTAGTGACTTGAGTAAAAAAATTAGTGTATTGAAACTGAAGTTCTTTTAGTCTGTAGCAATGTTTGTTACATAAGCAAATTTCAATTTTTCCCATTTAACAAGTGATACAATCTTGAACTCACTTTAATAATGTAGAAAACAGTCTATGATTGCTAAAGTTGGCAGCCCCTTCATTCTCCACATGTTCCTCCATTGATCTTATCATCATCCAACTCATACTTTATTTCTTTTTTTAATTTTTTTTTTTCAACGTTTATTTATTTTTGGGACAGAGAGAGACAGAGCATGAACGGGGGAGGGGCAGAGAGAGAGGGAGACACAGAATCGGAAACAGGCTCCAGGCTCCAAGCCGTCAGCCCAGAGCCCGACGCAGGGCTCGAACTCACGGACCGCTAGATCGTGACCTGGCTGAAGTCGGACGCTTAACCGACTGCGCCACCCAGGCGCCCCTCATACTTTATATTTCTGTTGCATATAGTCTGTGCCTCACTAGAATGTAATCTCCAAGAGGACTGGGATTTTGATTTCCATCACCAAGAACAGTGCTTCATACGAGGCAGTTCCTCAATAAATGATTACCAAATGAATGGATTTGATCAGCTTTAAGATAAAATTTTATTTTGAGACAAAATTCATTCTAAGGTATGGATTGAAGTGTAATTGCCTTTTACCGCCATCAAAGTAGACAGTTCTCTTAAACTCCTTTTTGGAGTTTGTTACTTTGCACATAATGTCGCTGTTTTCTTTTTACGGTTTTCATGGTTTTTTTTTTTTTTAATTTATTTTTTTTTTTTAACGTTTATTTATTTTTGAGACAGAGCATGAATGGGGTAGGGTCAGAGAGAGAGGGAGACACAGAATCTGAAACAGGCTCCAGGCTCTGAGCTGTCAGCACAGAGCCCGATGCGGGGCTCGAACTCACGGACCGCGAGATCATGACCTGAGCCAAAGTCGGCTGCTTGACCAACTGAGCCACCCAGGCGCCCCTCATGTTTTATTTCCAAATGATTAGCTAACAGATTTCAAGCTGCAGTTTGAAAGCCCTTTCCACATATGCAGCTGTGGAAAGTGCTTAGTACTAATAAATAAAAATTCAAATATTCCTGTCTGTGACAAGCATATACATATGTACATGTGCCTATATGGATGTACACACACACAATATCTGTACATACTTACATTAACACGTACATACTCTTCTTTTTCATTTACCTCTTCTAGTCAGTATCATGGTACAGCTTTGATCAGAAACTGGTTGTACACTTCAACTCTGCCAGGAGACGTTGGATTTTAATAGTTGCCCAGTTCTTTTCCTGAATGAAAGGAACTCTTAATCCTGAAATACCAAACCAAAATGAGACCTTTTAGTAGGTTGCAGATCAGTTTGCTGTTTTCTTAGTCTTTCTCAGTTAGGCATGCACACACACACCAATCTTTGGAATTTCCACCTGGAAATTCTCCAGCCTGAGAGCTCCTGGTATGCTTTCCTAAAAATTTATTCTTTGTGCTTTTCGCAGTAAACTAAAATTACTAATTTAAAGCCTTCATACCATTCCTCAGTGGGACTTTTGCAGACACCTCAATGTTGATTTAAGTTATTTTTATTCTAAATTAAAACCTCAGAGGTAAATAATTCATCCTGCTTTTGATTCTTCCACAACTACAGAATTTAACACATTCTCAAATTCAGTATAAACAAAACTATAAAACAACAAAATTCAAATTAACAGTACATTGCAGACATTGTTTTTTTTTTTTTTTTTCAACGTTTATTTATTTTTGGGACAGAGAGAGACAGAGCATGAA